TAAATATAAAGTATTTGACTATAAAGAGCCTTTTCTGGTGTAAAGAAAACTACAATTCATACAATTTAGATGAAACGAACTATTGAAAACATCATTGTAATTTTGTCGTGGTTGCTGAATATTTGTACAACAGCCACATTATTATTTTATATAATATATTTTAAGCCTCTGGCACAAGTTAAACGCTACAATATGGCTCTGTGAACATCTAATACTGTCGTGCTCCATAATCACCCCTGTTTTTAATTCTGCTGTAAATCACTCTGCACCGTCCCAAACACCAGCTGATAAACTTTAAATCGTTCCCAGACTCGTCTCTGACCCGGTGGTTTGATGAGTCTCACGTTAACGTTATCATCTCTCCAGACAAACACACTTAACAGAAGTTTATCTGCCGTCTGTTTCCATGTTCCAGCTCTTTGATGACAAAGGCTAGCTTCAAGTGCTCGGACTCTTGTAGAGAGGATCAAAGTAGCTCACGATGGCACCGGTACAGAAGCATCTCTTGGATTTAGTAACCACAGGATAAAATTTTAACTTCTGTAAGGCTGCCAGCTCGGGTGTGGATCTGGTGTCACCCAGGCACTCCCCAGGGGTCCTTTTCTCATAAGTGTGCCTGCGTAGGGGTCTGTTTGCTCTGCCATCTCTTTCCTCTCAACTATTATTGTCTGTCTATATTGTGATGTTACTGAGAGCACTCTCAGATTGAAAAAAGGGAACAGTGTTGCAATTTCCAATTACTCTGTGCAAACTTGTTATTATACTGCTGATATAATTTTATACTACTGATTGGCAGTGGTGGAACTTCATGAAGTGTATATATACATATATACAAGTTTAAGCAAACTGATTACTTCACTGAAGTTTTTATTTTTTATTTTAATACACATATTAACACATTTAAGTTGGGGGAAAATACTTCACAAATGACTTTTAGAAGTATTACTCAAAGTAAACTTCAATGAATTAAGTCAAAATGAAATGACAGCAATTTTAAAGCAGGGTTGGGGAAGGCCATTTCAATGTTATATCATCCATCACCTACCATACTGAATTATATAAAACATATATCAAAATAACTTCTATAATGTGATGGCTTGAACTGCTTCTCTTTGTCTAAAGTCACATGATTGCGAGTGATGGTGACTCAAACAAATCTTCACCTTTGGTACTGCCATGTCTGACTCAGAGAAACTATAATCTCTCCCTCCTGTCATCGTTGGGTGGTATTTGTTATGTCTGTTGTTTCATCACAAAGACTGGAAATTTTTTGTGGTGTCCTTCAGTGTTTTTTTAATGTCTTGCGCCATATAAACAAATCCCATGTGCAACGGTTCTTTGAGACAAAGTGATGATGTGGAGCAATTTCAAATGTTCTCACAGGGCGAGGGAGCAACAAGGCAGAGGAAAAGTGTGTCTAAGTATAGGTAAAAGTATAGGTATAGGTAAAAGTATAGGTAAAAGTACATGAATTTGCTGCACAAATTCATGTACTTTTACCCAAGTTAGGTTGTGAAAACCAGACTTGTAAGTTTTATAGTTTTTTAATGTTACTGTTTCTTCCCCAGTGATTGTAATAATCATGACGGTGCAACAGAAGAAGTGAAGTGACAGAGCATATTGTGACAAATTCTGCATTAGTAGGTGGTCAGGCTTCATAGATATGTTAACACAGGACTTTGACGTTTACAATTCACTCTTCATTTCCCCTCTTTTTACCAATTTACACCATTGTTTTGGTTTATCCCTGTCTATCCCACAACCTGAACTGTGTGTTCATGTCCTCTTATCTTAATTAGTTAACTAAGCACCTATCTTAACCCAAGTCTAGGGGGCAGATACTGTACTTGACAAGATCACTGGTATAAACACACTCATGCACATTTTTAAATTGCAACTTTTGTGATGGGACATGAACGCACACTAAATGTGCACACTCAGGACTCACAAGGATTCACACACACACGCACCAAAAGCCTGTGCAGCGGCAAAGGCCACGTATATCACCACAAGTCTTATCAGAATGAGAACAGGGGACTGAGACGCTCTGTTATCAGCAGATCCACCTCAGGTCTGCAGTGGGGAAGACACAGAGCGACGGGGAAGGAGAGGGGAGCGCACGTAAGCAGCGAACACTGTATCATTAGGGAGACAGGTGCTGCTTCTGCACATTAACTGGCTGTGATGTCACCACCTGGGTGAAACTTGGCATGTGGGCTGGTTTAAATAGGAAGGTCGGTGCAAAGAAGTCAAACAGGGCGTCCAGAAAAAGAATTGCCTTAGGAGTGAAGGAGGGGAAGAAACTGGGGGGAAAAAAATCAGGTGATGTGCTCCATGAGGAGGGGGACAAGGTGAAAGATTACAGGAGGACGCTGTGTGTGTGTGTGTGTGTGTGTGTGTGT